ATATATATGTATATATATATAGCCATATAATAGAATACATTGGCATTTAAAGAAAATAATGTAGTAAAGGAGTTCTGATGCATGCAGCTTAGTCTCAAATAGTTCAGAAAAACTGTATGTGTGTGTGTAGATATAGGAGTACATATCTGTGTATATGTATGTATAAATCTATGTCTATGTCGGTCTCAATATCTATATCTGTATCTATATCTAGAAAGTGCTTGAGTGCAAGAGAACATTCATGCAATACACACACAAATGATAAAACACTAGGGCAAAATGGTAGCAATCAGTAATGCTGATACTACTGGTCCTTGGGCCACCCTGTGAGTAGCAAGGATACAATGACTCTTAACAACTGTTTAAATCAGGTTGGTGGTAAATCATCAGATTTTAAAGTGACAAATCTCTAAAAAATGAGGCATACTTACTAAGCGAAAGGAATTTTTAATATAGGATCTGAGCTGTCGGCAGAAAGGCTCCCAGATTTAAAGTGAGGACTGAACTGAGTTAAATGATTTCGAAGAATTCCAACAGCGACTTGTGCATGTGGATCGAGACTAACTCTGAAAACGATAATTAAAAAATTGGTAATTTTTAGGAGTAATTTATTCAAAATTAACAGGATAGGTTAATTATTTTAAATATAAGCAAAGTTGACAGTTTGAACTCTAACATACCTGAATACAATAACACTTCCTGGAGACAAGTTTTCAAATTCTATTTCTTGAATGTATTCATTGGGTCCTTTTGTGGCAATTCCAGCTTGTTTAACAATTTTACTTTCATTAAGCTTGAAAAAAGTTATATAAAACCACTCAATAAATAATTCTAAAGTCCTTAAAATGTTAAACACAGTAGTAAGATGAGAGTACCAAACTACCTGAATATGTTCTCTAATTTCTGCTGTGATATCTGGCATTCCATTGATTGAATTTTCATCCCTCTTATAAGGTTTTGTATTTCTTTCAATAGTTCTAGCTTCAAGAACTACTTCTTCAATTTTGCCTAGGAATATGTAAAATTTTAATAAAATTTCATATTAAATAATCTGAAATTAGAAATTGCTAAAGGTGTTTTAAATCATTTAAAGTTGAATATGAAATATGTTAACTTTTTAAAAATGCAAAACAGTCTGAATGTAGATGATTCCACCCAAGATGCATTTTTCATACCATGCTTGTTTTTAAAATCACAAATTAACAAAGCTTTATTTGAAAAGAGATCTTATCAAGAATTACTTGATAAAAAGTACTAATACTAAATTAGAAAAAAATCTGGTCCTATTACCTAGCTTAAGGAAACAGTACAAATACAACTGAAGCCCTGTATACCCTTTCTTCCCTTTCAGAGGTTACCACTGCCTTCAGTGTATGTTCATTGATCCTGTGCATTTTTATGACGTGTGTTTCCCTAAACAACATATGTAATTTTCATATTTCCAAGTTTTATTAAAGTGGATTCAAATTATATATATATATTTCTGCAACTTGCTTTCTATTGGACACTACTTTTTTTTTTAAGATTCATTTGCATTGCTACATTAACTCTAGCTCATTTATTACACATGCCAAATTTATTCTACTGTATGAATATACTAAAATGCATTCATTCTTTTAATGTTGCCATCAATTTTTTCTCTATTATAGTGTTACAATGACTATTCTTGCATGTCTTCTAATGAAAATGTACAAGAGTTTCTCAGAAACATATGTAGGAGTAGAATTGCTGGGTCAAGGATATATAAAACTTTATTATTTAAATAATTTAAGCTTTCGGCCATTAATCTAAGACAGTAAGTAAAAGTACCTTTTGATATAGAAATTCTACTTCTGGTAATATACACTAAGAAAATTGTTTAAAGAAAAAATTTATTCCTAGTGTATATTTAAAACAAATAAGAACACTGCTAAACATACTAGAGAGTATTAAAAATTGATACTAAAATAATAAAATATGAAACATTTGACATAATAAAAATCACAATTTTGTGAACTGACAAAATAGAAATAAATGGTTTAAGAATGATCAATGACCAAAACAAATCCTGAGAGATAATATTATACACACTGATTGCAGCCATGTAAAACTATATATATGCATTAGCAAAATCAGACAAGATCACTGAATATAAATTTGTGAATGTTTAAAAAAACTAATGAACAGTTAATCCTAAAACTATTCAAGTTGATAATTTTTAAAAATTGGAGTTACACATATTTATCAATTAGCAACCAATACAATATGATGATCTTTATGAGAATCTTCACTCAATCAACAGATTTTGACTGTTGCTGTATGCACAGAAGCATGTTATGCTATAATATATTATATATCAGTAAAGAATGAAATATACACGTTTAGAAAAAAAATCCAGCGATAGTAAGGATATACCTCAGGGATGTATTTTATAATTAAGTACAAAAGGAAGAGTAATAGAGACTATAATTATATGTTCAGAGGAGAGAGAGATTACTGAGTACTTAGAGAAGCCTTCACAAAGAAGGTGAAATTCTAGTCCTTGAAAGATGTAAAGAATTTAAACACAGGTGGAAATAAGATTAAGGTAGTAGTGAAAACATCTATTTGGCTGAAATAGTGGAGTGATACAGGGCTAGAGAGGCCGATGAGAATGGATTATGACAAGCCTTAAATATTAAACTATTTTCATTTTGGTTTATATATGTATGTATGCATGTATATACACATATAAATATACATATATACATGAATATACATATATATTTCCCTGGGTATAAAAAAATACACGTTCATTTTATACAAATTAGAAAATAAAGGAATGTATTAAGATGAAAATGAAACTATTTGCAACTCAAAAATATGTTAATATTTGAGAATTGTTCCACGTAGTAAAAATATAAGTTACCAAAAATTTCTAATTCTTTTTCTCAACTACATCCACACTTGCACTGTGTTATAATACATATGACATATGACGATTTAATATAACAGTATGATTTAATATAACAATATAATCACAATAAAGTTTTTAGATTGCATTACCAGGGATGCACATTTGAGGGACTTCCTTGCTGTAAAATGAAGTCTTGGGATTCTTGAAAGCAGTTCTAGACACAGCCACAACAGACTGATGGATACTAGGTGAGTGTCTTGTTACTGCCACTATGTCTTCATCAACCTGATCCACATACACCTGAGAAACAGAAAGAGCAAACACACTAGAACTCAAACTGGAAAGACTTACTCTGAAATTGAACCTTAAGAAAGAAACTTAGAAAATTTAGTTTCTTGCCTGAATAAAACCCTTGGCCCCAAGCTCTTGATGAAGTTTATTGATAGCACGCCTAGCTGCAATAATTCCACTCTGCAAATTAACATCGCCTGTATCTGATGGGGATGCTCCAGGATTCCACTTAGTGTAAAACCGTTCTTCAGAAACCACTGAAATCTGAACAAAGTTAAAACTCAGCAATGTCTACATTTTCATTACAATGAAAACTTCTGGTAAAAATGATCAAAGTTGTTGGCTATGTGGATTTTAAAAAATAACACATAAACAAACCTGATGAGGCACTAATTCATCATAGCCTTTAGTACTACCACTAGCACAACACGCCATAGAAACAATCATGGAACTTGGGAGAGCATCATATGCTGATCTATGCTAGAAAACAACAACAACAAAAAAACCAAAAGTTTATTTCTTTCCAATGCAAAGTGCCATCCTATAGCATAATGAAGTAGGATAATTACATAAATACATTCTATAAGATACATTAACTGGCTTTAAGACAAATAACAAAACTTTCTAAAAACTATGCACCATAATCATTTATAAATCTAAGACACTTTTTAAAGTATGTGGACATTATTGCCACTAATTATTGGAGAACTAAATATTAAAACATTTAGCAAAATAAGTAAATACAAGAAGCAGAATAGACACTTACCACAATAGGACACTCATTATCATGGGTAATATCCATAAACAGGGCATGTGCAATAGCTGGCATCAAAGGCCTCAAACAGGGCTGAACAAATGACCCAACGGGTTCTCCTCCATATCGGTAAACTAATCTGCCCTCTTCATGACTATCATGTGCACTCATTGCCTCTGCAAAGCATTATTGAATATTTTAATCTTTATTATTAATGTCCAAGAAGAGGTCAGATTTCTTATTATGACTGACTTTCAAGAAAAGACCATATAAATATTATCTAAAATAAAGCTGCTTTAAACATTTAAACAAATGTCCATTAGTAGTGACAAAAAGGTTTTCTCTATAACTTAACAGGGAAAATGATACATGTAGGTAAAAGGGAACATATGTTATTTATTAGGATGTTGGTTATATGAAATCTATGGGGAAAAAATCTAAAGATTATATCATATGTCCAGATAGGAGATGAAAACAGATTTCTATATTTTCAACAACAACAAAAAATGGTTTTGTTTATGAGTCATGAATTCATCTCACAGGCTTTCAATTTAAAGTAAGATATTTTACCCCAAACTGAAATATTTTACTGATAAAAACAGACTTAGTTATATTAGAAAATTTTGTGTAGAATACTTAAAAGAACATTAACTATGTTGAAAATTATAAACATTGTCTATAAAGCTATTAAATGCCTTTAATCCACTTAAATAAAAAGAAAGTTTTAGGTGGGAAATACACGTACACTCAGCAAGCCTACCTCTTATTAAGGAACTAATTCCCAGTCTAGTAACAAAGACATTGTCCAAGTCTTCACTTCCTGTGAACAGTTCTGCCACTATATATAAATTGGGTTGCAATTTCCTAGCAGCATCCAACATGTACTGCAAAAAGCACAGTCACAAATGTAACAGGAAGAGAAAAGCAAGATGGGAGGGAAGCAGAGAAGGCAAGACTAGTCATGGATTTGACATAGGAAAATATCACAGAGCAAGACAAAATGGAAATCCAAGAAGAATTTCCAAATAAATCGAGTATATATAAAAACACACGAAACAGAATAATACACATAAGAAATAAGAATTTATAAAAAGGATAAAACAGTTAAAAGGAAAGATTAGATTTTGCAAAGATAATAGGGACAAAATGAGGAAGAAAAGGAAGAAGAAAAAGGTTAATGTCAGATTAAACAATGGAAACTATAACTTTGCAATTCTGCTAGACTTTCCCCTTGTTTTATGTCTATTTATTTTTAATACCTCTAATCAGATTATTAATTTACAGGCAGTCGACCAGACTATTATTGACAAATTGCCTGCTGGTGAATCATTTATTACAAAGATTAGGTCCGACTGACTAGACTTCAGCCAGTTTTACTTGCAGATGATGATAAATGCTTATTCTTAATCAGAAATGAAATTGGTTCTAAAATTTTTAACACAATGTTTGCACAAAAGGTTAATAAAATACCTGAAATTCTATCAGCTAACAAGTAGGATTCTAGAGGATTCTGTAACTTAAAATTAAGCAAATTAAGTTTTAATACTCTGTTCTGCCATAATGTTGTAACAGTTTTAGAAGTATGTATTTTTTTGCTAAAGGTATATGCACACAAAAAAACTCTGCCACTTTTTTTTTCTTTTTTCTTTTCTCTTCACTACACTCTCAAAAATAAGAAACCTCTAACAATATTTGTCATTTTTTGGAACTAAACAATGTTCTACCACATTAACTGATGTTCACTAAATACCTCCAAAGTAAATCAATCTTTCAATGCAGGACACAAAACATACATATTATGTTACCACTTGAAAATTATAGAAACAGATATTTTTCTGATAAGCACACATTTCCAAAGAACACTAAGTTGTCACTAGGAAGATACGGAAGATCTTATACAACAGGATGAAAATTATGTGTTTACAAAGCTATATCATGTAGAAGATGATGCTGTAAATGTTGGTACTGCTAAGTTACTGTAAAAAGCCTAAAGAGGACTAGACCTTTATGTTTACACTTATAATTTTATAAATAATTAATAAAAAGCTGAACCAACGAGACTAAAACTAGCTACAATACGTTATGTTAGTGTTTAAATAATCAATATAAATTAATAAGTTATTCAACTTTACAGTGACTACTAATAAATATATTGAAGGCAACCTAAAAATAACAGGAATAAGAGAAATTAATATTTATATTTTTATAAATATTATATAGCATAACTATATTATAATCATTCCATTAAAATAAATACTAAATTAATCAATAAAATAATTATTATAAAAGTTACATTATATTAAATTATTATATTAAAATTAACATAATAATTAACATAAATACATTGAAACATATGATTACATTATAAT